ATTTTTATTCTATTCTCTCCTTTGAAGCTATCGCTTCTGCAGGCGAAAGCCTAGCTTCTTTTTTCGAATCTAGTGAGAAAAAAGGAATACAATTTTTATTGATATAGTAGAACAATATTTAAGAGCTCTAGAATAGCGAATCAATAAGTAATCATTCTAGTCAACAAAGGAACGCTTGGACTACGTATTTTAATAACTATTATTCTTAAGCCTTCAGGTGAAAAACAAAGAAGTCTGCACACCTTCCTTATTTTTGAGATTGCAGAGTCTTCAGCTAGGTAAGAAAAAGAAAACAAAGTAATATAGCAAGAAGTCATTGTGGGAGGCGTATACCTTTAGTGGGAAACACCCTTGTCTCCTCCTAACAAATATAGATTACATGATATATGTTTAAACATTTTGTGTAAACTTAAAAATTTTTTAAAATTATAAATTATAATTTATTAATATTTAAAATATTTATATTTTAATAGTTATTATAAATCTAAATTTTTTGTAATATTAAATAATATTAATTTAAATATTTTAATAAAATTATATATAAATTAACATATTTTTTTTAAAATAATAAATAAAATTATAATTTATTTAACTATTTTATTATTAAAAAATTATTTAAAGTATAATAAATATTTTTAAAAGAAATCTATTAAAATTAATAATAAATATTTTTATTTTTTATATTTAATTATAAAAAATCTACTTTAAAAGTAAAATAAAAAATAAAAAATTTATTAAATATTTTAAAAATAAAAAAAAATAATTATTTGTTTATTTAAACTTAATGTCAATGTAAAAAAAAATATTAATAATTTTATAAATAATAAAATTAAAAAGAAGGTATTTTTCTATTATCATCAAATCTTAAAATATTATTAGAAAGTTGAAAAGTAAAAAATTTATTAGATTTTTTTTAAAATCTGTTATAATTTATTAGAAAGATATATATAATATTATTTTTAAAACATTTTTATTTAAATCAGTTAACTTAAAATATTATTGAAAATTTTTTAAAAATTATAAATTTTACTAAAACTTAGATTTTTTGCATTTAGTTTTTGATGTTATTTGATTAAAATATTAAACTTAGTTAAAACATCCTTAGGGCTTAGTTTTCTAACAATTATTCCAAATGTCAAAATTTAGAGAGTCTTATTTTAAAATCATTTATATTGTTATTAGAATTGATATTATATATAAATTTTTTATGAAATAAGTATTTATTTATTGTAAAGAGAAAGTTCCAAAGAAATATAATATTTTTTTCCAAGTTTTATACTTTGCATTCTGTTTTTTAGGACAATTTCATGCCTTTTTAAATATAATTTATTATAATAGTCTTATAAAAATAACATTTATTAATTTTGTTTAAAGGCCAAATAATAATATGGGAGGATTAGGAATTCTAGGAATTCTAGTCAAATCAGGTTACGAGAAATTTTGACTAAAATTAAGAGCTTAATGCAATAAACTTAGCATCAACCCATTTCAACTCGAAAATGTAAAAAAATTTACCATATCGTGATTGGCTAGAATGATGAGAATATAAAGTACTAACATAAATTATTTACTAGAGCATTAAATATCACGAAATTATTCTAATCAATTCACCGTTTCTAAAATTCCATGTAATATCTGATTCATCTAATTCTGAATCATATTTTTCATCTCTTATAAACTCTTCAAAGCATTTAAAGTAACTCAAGTGTTGAAGTCTATTATGGAATTAAGAATTAACATTGCTTCATTCCTACTTTATAAAATGTTTGTGAAAACGATTTTCTCCCCGAAAATGGGATAATAAGTTGCGAGTTAAAACCGTGCCTTCCGTTTATTTTAATGGTTTCAATTAATTTCCTCGCAAACTCTAGCAGTTTGTTTGGTATTGCTTGTTCCATTCTCTAATGGATACAATAATAAGGTTGTATTTTATTCTTCAGTTCAGATGTTTGCGAGAAGCATACGGAATTGATTTCATAATTTCTGGAAACATTTTGTTTCCGAGAACGATATCGAATTAATATTATGGGGTATTCACCTTTTGAAGATTTTTTCTATGAACCATGCATGTAATGTATCTGGTTTAATTGAAAGTTCTCTGTCAAATCAGCCTCGCCCAACTTATTAAATCAGATTTTTCTAACGATAAAGGCTATATATAATAAATGAAAGAGTCGAAATCTAACGATCTGTTAAAAAAAAAAAAAAAAAAAAATTACTTCATCATTATTTGAAATATTTAATAATAAACCGTTAATGGACCATATAATTGTAAGCGGCCAAAGCGAACAATAATAATATTTTGTAAACTTGAAGGATCGAAACCGTATCACGTTTTTCTTTAAACATTTTTCTTTACCACATATCCAAATTTCAATTTACCCGAGCTTGAATTCGGTAAATTATTACTTCTTTTGAGGTTTCTGATATAATAACAAAAAACTCGTCATAAAAATGTTCCATTGCTTACGTCAATATATGGAGCTTCGTCAATAGAAACGCACCATCTTACTCACCTTAACAATTTTATGTTATATGATGCATTTCTATTGACGAAGTCCCATATTATGACTTTTTCCATAATGAAAATACGCATGGTAGAATTACATGGAACAAAGTGTGTATATATTCCTAACGCATTATATAGGAAAATGTGCTAGTAAATAAATCATTGTTCTCAACTATAACATTTTCTTCTCCAAGATTATGTTAAAAACAACAACTTTTAAATCGATTTATTATTATTATTATTATTATTATTATTATTATTATTATTTTATGTATTACAGGAATTAAATAAAATAAATAGAATTTGTCTTAGGTCATGAGGCCTCAAACCTAGGAGAGATTTTATAATTTAAAATATAAAATAAATTATTAACTTCATATTTCATCAACATAAATATAATTCATCTGATTTATCACACATCATCTTCCTCATCATCATCTTCCTCCTCCTCCTCATCCTCATCCTCATCATCATTATCCTCATCATAATTTTCATGTTGGGTTTGAAGTACCATTTCATATTCGTCATCAGAGACGTCTTCTTCTATGGATTCATATGCATCCTCATATTCAGGTGGAGGAGGAATCATCGAAGCGATCACGTAATCTGGAGGTTGATCAATAGAAGTGTAAAGGGGAGCTTGTTGTCTCGGTTTACAAGATTTTGTTGTGATTATGATTGGAATTTCGAAATGTAAGTGAGACTTTACAATTTTATTTTGAGAGGAATTATTAAGAATTGTTTTTATGGAAAAAGTTCTTGAATTTCTATTATTAGGTAATAAAGAAGAATTTCGATATGTTCTTCTTCTTCCTTCACCCCTTTCTAGATTTCTTGTAGAAGTTGGAACAGAATATCGACGGCTTCCCTGAGCAGAAGTTATTGTGGATGCGTTCACACTTGAAGCGTTTTCCTTTTCAGCAGAAATTGTCTCCGTGACGCAGATATTATATGTTAATTTATGATGAACGTTAATTAATGGGGAATCTATATCAGAACTAACCCATGGACATAAACGAAAATTGATTCTAATCGGATCCGAACCAGCGTGAAAGAATGAGTCGATAGGAACTTTCTTCTTGCCAAGTGGGTAACGATCTTCGTCAACGTCTGCCAAGATGGTCAGATCTTGTTCACCTGTTGTATGATAATGAATTCGCTCTTTTAATCCATATTCAACAGCTTCAATGACCGTATCAGAATTCATGTGTTTTAACGTTAATTCGGTTTGGACTAAACCGCCTTCACGATATGCTATGATAGGGGTATTAATTTGATAACTGATTCGGCCATCCAGAACTCCTTCAGTAAATGTTGAATTATGTGACAACATTTCATCCATCAGACATCGTTTGATATATATAGGTTTCTTTACTAATATATCGTTACGAAATAATGGTCTCGCAAGGATTGCGGAACAAGAATATTCGATTTTTCCACGTGATCCCTGAAACGAAGATGGTAAATTTCCGGGTAGATCGAATTCAAAAAAATATTCATGTGTACCGGCATGGATTTTCCTGTTTGTAGTTTCCGACTTATGAAATACGCACTGTTTCCGAAATATCGTTTGAGTTTCACTAACTTTAAAAAACACAAAATTGATTAATAATGAAGAATGCAATGATGCGAATCGAGAAAACGATTATTTTTATTTACATTCTGGTCTATTAGAAGACATAGGAGGTCCACATGAAACGGAAGTCTTGCCAAGGAATACAAACAATAAATGCTTTACCGGAAGCGAATTTTTGTTTTTAAGAATGACTTTTCCCTTGAGTTTACATCCGTATGATTCTTCTGGGAGACCATACATTATACCATTAAAATCATCATCCAGTGAGATTTCTAATTCAACATTTTTCTGTTTACTAAACATTGTCTTATTATATTAATGATAAAAAAAATAAAATCGATAAAGTGAATTTTTTTTTAAAAAAAAAAAAAAAAATGAAAGAAAAAAAAAAAAAAGCAACCTTGTTAAAAAAAATTCAAAATTCCATTTAAAAATTAAAAGACGGGCATAAAAAATTACTAAAAATATATTAAAAAAATGAGAAACTGCAATTTAAGAACGATCAAGAAATGCATCAAATGTAAAATGCGGTTTATATTCCATTATTTCCATATTCGATCTCATAACTAGTCAATAAATGGGTAGGGTATGCTAAGAAAATTCCCGATATTGCATTACCATAGAATTCGGAGATGCCATATATACATTTGAAAAATTAGGTAATTAATGATAGGGTTTTAATTTTGCCGATTGTAGATCATACTATTCATACTATTCATATGACAATGAATGATCACAAGATAAGTCTATAAACTTGTACAACCCATTGTACAAGACGACTTTTTGAACGGTCTTACAAACGAGACATTTTTTAAGACCGGGGTCTTCCTCTTTCTTTTCTCTAAAGTGGGGTTTTTTCTTTCTTTTTTTCTTTTAGATCCTATAATCATCGAATAGATATAATAGATAATAATAATGTTGTTAGTCATTCCTTTGTTACTCATAATTCCTGTGATAATTTTTTATCGAAGAACCAACCTTTTCTATAGTTTCTTGTTGATCTTACAATTTTTGTACTCGTTTTATAAATTATGTCTTTCAATACCTTTAATATTATTAAGAAGACGCGTACCAACGTCTGCAACAAAATTAATCGGAGATATTAAGAGTTTAGATAAAGTACCAAAACATCTCGCAATAATGTTTTGGAGTGATGATATCCAGGATGAAAGATTGATCGAAGTGGCGCTTCTGTGCTGTTGGTCTCAGTGTTTCGGAGTGAAAATTGTTAGCATTTATGATGCCGAGGGTAAAGTTTTAGATCCGTCAATTATATTTGTGTTTTGATTTGATTTGATTCACCTTTTTTCTTTTATATAGGTCGCCTGGGACATTACGCTCATTTGCTTCAATCTCAAATCAACATCATTTCACAAAAATTTTTCATTTCGGAGAAGATCATACCCACTATTCAAGTAACCTCTCTCGATTCATCATCATCATCATCAATAAGTTCATCCACAGAGGCAGAACCAGGTATGAGTTGTAACGGAGATTATTTTATCATTTTCAAAGTGCTCTTGACGTTAACGATTTTGATTTTGGTAGAATTACTGGTAAATCTGGTCTCACGTTCCGATGGTCGTACGCGAATAGTGAACGTGGCAAAATCATTAACTGATGACATTAAACAGGAAAAGATAAAATATGAAGATGTGAATATTCTGGAATTAGACAAGAGGTTAAGCAGTATGTATTAACAAAATGTATTTTGGAATTTATAGTTATCATTTACTTGGTACCAAAAATTAATTCATCATTTTTTTTTTTTTTAAATTAAAAAAAAATCCTTAAAGTAACACGATTCCCTGAACCACAACTTCTAATTTTATTTTCTTCAAAAGTTTTTCTTGACGGATTCCCACCGTGGCATATTCATCTAACTGAAATATTGTAAGTTTTGGCCATTGTAAAGTATTGATTGGTATTTTTATATTTTAAATCTAATGATGTTTTTATTAATATGATATCTTTATTATACGTTTAAAGTCATGTGCCCAACAATCAACAATTCTGTTATTTCATCTTTTTACAAGGACTTCGTAAATATTCAAAATGTAATCAACGATTTGGTAAATGAGGGAAACATACATTATCCTTTTTTTTTTCCATAATTGTTTAATTTATTAATGTAATTCCTTTTGAGGATTTTTTTTTAATGTTTCAAATTATAATATAATTAAAATTATTTTAATATATAAAGATTTAAGTAAATGTATCAGATTTTGAATTCACGTGTCTGATTATCAGTATAATTCTTATTTCACAATTACATTTGTTAAATAATTAAATCATCCACTACTTTCATCTCTAATACTTCACTATCATAATATTAAAAAAAAAGGTTCGATAACGTTATTTGAAGATCAGAGAAAGAAAATTAAATTCTTAACCAAAAAAAGTCTCATACTTCATATCTTCAGCAAATAAGATCATCCTCTTGTATCACATCATTTCAAAATTTTATCGAAATTGGCAATGGATAACTTTCTTCATCATTACTCCTGAATCTTGATTCTTTTTTTTTTTTTTTTGTAGTCATTTTATCAATTTGTCAATGTCGGAACGACGGAATCCTCAATACTATCATTCTTCTTCTAACTGATTAGATTAAAAGTTGTACCCAAGATCGTTCTGATTTGTATATATATTTTTTTATTCAATGTCTGTTTCTCTTGTTGATCGTCTCAAGCTTATATTACGGATTTGAAAAACAACGTGTTTTCCTATGATACATTTCTCTAAATTTTTCCATTTATTTAATAAGAAATTCTCGGAATTTCATATTTTTAGCTTGAGTTCTCATCGTAAGCCTTGCTGACATAATCATGGTTCCATATACACGTGTTCTGTATCTCCGTTCACTTAAAAATGTTCAATAAAACTTATAATGCTTCGCAAGTCGTGTTGTGAAACCTTCGTAATGCACCCCATAATTTCCCAACGTTATTTGTTTTTAGCCTTTAAATAATAATTGATGCGTAAGAGGGGAAATAAAAAAGGTTTCAAAAAGGTTTCAATTTTTTTTACAAAAATTTGATACGATAATCACGTGATCAAAATGGGCGGGGGAAACTTTCGAAAAATTTGAATTATTTATTATCATTACTAAAAGGATTTTTTTTTTTGTCTTTTTTTAATTTAACTATCTACAAAAAATTTATTATACAAAACGAAAGGATTCTTATATAAGTTTAATATTATTCTTTGGGTATTTTTTGACCACTTCCAAATGTTCTTCCGACAAACCCTGACTAAAACAAAATTCCAAGATTCCATTATCCTTTCCGATCATTAGACCATCAAGGAATTTTTCTAGTACGCTAGGGCTGAAAAACCAAATGAAATAAACCTTAAATGTTCTCAAACTCTCGGGGAAAATGTGTTTCAGTTTCAACAGGTATTCGTCAACATCCATGGCGTTAAAAACGTTGTATTGAGGACAATTTAAAGGATGTACCTTCTTAAAATCGAAACTTGGATGATAAATATGCAAGTATTCTAATTGTTGACATCCTTTAAATAACTCTTCGATCGTAAGGCTTTGATTAATCGTCACCGGTGCAATGAATTTCTTGAGATTATGACAATAGGTTGATAATAATTCTATCACCCTCTCAAGGTTATAATTTTGTAAACGTTTAAGCTGTAAAGTGTGAAGGGTTGTGCTCGAATATTGAAAGACGGGTTCAAGAATTTCCAAAGGTAAATCGTATTGTTTAACTATTATGGTATTTAATTTTTTAAACTCTCGGAACGGAGCTTGGATTTCGTCCTGATTCAATTGATCGATGAACCATTTTTTGATTACGATCCTCTCTAAATTCTCAAATATCGTCAACTGTTGAAGAAACTTTGTGTAAAAGGTCGGATCAAAATAGATGTGTTCGATGGTCAAGCTAATCAAGGACTTTCTTGCATGTGGGGAGGTGACAAGTCCATTCCAAACGACTTTAAATCCCTCAATATTTTGAGATTCTATGGAAAGGTTTTGTAACTTTGATTGAGCTTTCACAATCTTCACCAAATCCGTGTAATTCCCCAATTTGATGTGCTCCGTTTGACATATGATTAAAGATTGAATATTTTGACAAAGTCTCGAAATTGTTTTGAATTGGTCCGAATAATATTCATTATTCACCTTCAGGTTGTGAATTTGTGGTAACTTTGAGGATGCCCCATAAAGTCGAAAGATATTCAGATCATTCGCTGAAGTAATGTCTAGGCAGTCGATATACGCGGCTTGACTCAAAAAATTTCTACACAAGGCTTTGCTTAATTCTTTCTTCATCCTCTCACATGGAGTTTCGGCTTCAATCTTGGATTCACACCATTCCATGACGGTTAAAAATATGAGGTTAACCGGTATGCTCCTTATGTAAGCGGGGTAATTGAAGGTGACGGGTTGCGTCAAGGTTGAAGTAATTCGTAACCTCTGTTGGATTACATGCGGCAGGCATGCGATGTATGTGTTTATTAAAGCTATCTGTTGTTGATCGGGACTCTCAAAAGGGTTCCTCCATAATTCCGGTATTGCTGACATACACCATTGTTTGTTGACAAATACACAGGAATGTAAAGACCTTTGATCCTTCTCCAGGTGTTGGAAAATATTTGATAAACAAACGTAAGGTAAAGTGTAAGTTATGTCCCTCATCTTTTATTTGGAGTGATTCCCGGAAAGGAGTGATTGAAAAAAAAAATTTCATCATCAATCCGAGACCTATTTATAACAATTTCTCTGCACATCATCACATGACCGATTATGCTTTGGAATTCCGCGATATTTCCGTCCTTGTGTTCGAGAAAACGTCATTTTGCGCAGCAGCAAAACCTTTTTTTTTGTTTCCCAATTTATCGAAAAAAAACAAAAAGAAAAAAAAAAAAAAGAAAAGGTTGAATCGAGAACCCTTTTTTCCTAAAATTATATGTCGGCCGAGAATTTTAAAATGGTTACTTTTGATTGGTGCTGACAACCCGGCAACCCGGCAATATGCCAAATATTTTTTTCGGGCCGAAAATACAGCGGTGTTACATGAACTTTATGCTGATGGATCCAATAACTCCAACAACTCGTTAACTGTACATGAATATTCGCATTCTAAACAATCTTAACCTAAATCAGAAAATTTCTTTGTAAATCTGTGATCAAAAGATCAAAGATAAAACAAATCTTGTAATTTGTACAACGTGATCTAGTGGAAATGTGCACAAAATTTTTTTATGTTATCGATCAATTTTAAATTAACTTGGAATTCAAAATCATCATCTATTCTAAAAAGAAAACTTTTATTATTTAGATTCAATTCTGATTACAAACTTTATTATCTAATTATTTGTATTGTATGCTAATCACGATTAAGCGCTCTATCTTTGCAATATACATAAATATATATATTTTTCTCGTCAATTGGTTCTTTGAATTTCATAAACTAATAAATTCTACACATCCTTGTTACCTTTCTTTAAAGCTAAAGACATTAATTGATCAAATTCTCCAGAATTCTGACACATTTTATAAAATAACGATTCATGATTTATCACCAAGTTATGAGGACTATCAAATTCCATTATGTTGCCTTGATCTATAAATTTAAATGTTAAATGTATACGTTAAAATGAAAAAAAAAATTCATAAATAAACATTTAGAAAATCGACTTACCAAGTACTAATATTCTATCATAATCAATAACAGTTCTCAATCGATGCGCGATACATATGATGGTGCAATCCGTGAATTCGGTTCTTATCATATTTTGTATTTTTTCATCCATATCGAAATCAATACTAATAAACCAATTTCATCACATAGTTAATAATGGTCTCATGATATCAAATTTCTCCGACGTAATTTACCTCGCAGTAGCTTCGTCCATTAAAATCACTTTATTTCTTCTCAACAAGGCTCTGGCCAAACACAACAATTGCCTTTGACCTTGACTAAAGTTTCTACCGCCTTCACTTACTGGTGTATCCAAATTTTTGAACACATTGATATTCTCATGGGTATATGAACCCCTACTTCCCCTCCTATTAATTGTTCCTAAGGATGAAGTATTTACTGCATCCAAAGCGGCCACTTGCTCTGAATCCGATGGTATTAAATGAACACGTTTCAACGAAGACATTATTTCAAGATCGTCGTACTGTGAAAACGCATCCAAATTTGAACGAATTGTTCCTATTAATTAAATTTTTTTTTTTTTTGAAAAAAAAAAGGAAAAAGAAGTTATTATAATATAAAAAAGTTTTTAACAAATCAAATGGAATCTTAAAGAAATTTACCTGTAAATAATATAGGATCCTGTGGTATAATAGTAATTCTTGATCTTAAATCCTCAACTCCAATTGAATTTATATCTATATCATCGATCAATATTTTTCCACTTGATGGTTCAATGAATCTAAATAACGATAATGCTATCGTTGATTTGCCTGACCCTGTCCTATAAAATAGCAAAAAAAATTTCAAGAAAAAGTTTATTATTCAAATAATCTCGAATTTATTTTTTTTTTTAAAAAAATAAAAAAAAATTATTTTTACCTTCCAACGATCCCAACTTTCTCACTACCTTTAATATTAAAGCTAATATGATGTAAAACAGGTTCTAAATCTGGTGCATATTTAACCTCTAGATTTTCCACTTTAATTTTGCCATTATATGGCCAAGCGGCTGGAGGTCTTGGTGAAATTATAGCAGGTGCTTCTTGTGGTAATTCTGAAAACTCGCATACTCTTTCAACAGCATTTAAACTCATTTCCATTGAAGAATATCTCCTAATCGACCAAATTATTTGTTCTGTGAAGTTTAATGCAAATGACAATGATATTCCGACCAAGCCCGGATCTAACGAGTCTATATGATAGAGTAAGAAGATACCAGAAAAGAAAGCTACCAATGTACCAGTCAAACTGAAACGAACTGATAACCATCTGTTGACGAGCCACATATTAAAAAACGCACGATGATTTGAATCAATCCTTAAATTCAAATCGAAATTATTTGTTAAAATAAAAAGTTCACAATTAAGGTTGTATATCAATAATGGAATAAATTCAATAACATACTTATCAAACATATCTTGCATGAATATCTTAGTAGCACCGTATGCTCTAATTGTTGAAATACCACTAAAGTATAAAATATAAAGATATGTTTATATGTTTAATAAATAATAAATTAAAAAATGTCTTGATCTAATAATTCTTACATTAGAGTTTCTGTAAAATGTGAATACAGGGGTGATCTCGTAACAGAATCCAATCTCTTACACTCTCGCGAAGCCTTAATATATAACGATCCAACAAGTAAATAGATAATGCCTATCAAAACATAGAGTGGCAAGTTAGAAGGTGGTGTTGTAAAACTTTAAATCATGGGATATTAAAAATATACGTTGAACATACAAAATATAATCGCGGCAATAAGGAATTCTACAAATGAATTAAATATAGTAAGGAAAATTTTTTTTGATATATTATATGTATGTATATAATTTACCTTTTGTAATGGATGTTATGACAAAAATAGTTGTAATTGCCATAATAGCCTATTAATGATAAGAACAATTTTATTAGGAATCAGGAATTGAAGAGAAATCCAAACCCCTTTTTAAAGGTAAAAGGCTCACATAAGTTAAAAACGTGGAGAATTCGGCTAGAAAAATAAATTAATACAAAATTAATAATATTCGGACAACTAAAAATCTATAAAAGATTAAAGTGGTAATCATTCTAAATACCTATTAATTTACTATCAATAGTTTCAAAATCCTTACTGAACCTATTAAGAATTCTTCCAACGGGAGTAGTATCAAAAAATCTAAGTGGAGCTCTTAAAACTTGATTAAGCAAAATTTTATATAATTTTCTTGAAGCTCTCAAACTTCCATAATATAGTAAGGTAAACCTCGCAACTCCAAAGATACTAGATGAAAGTGAGATTAATATATAAATGTTCAAATAATAGTCAATACTATGTGTATCATTCTGAGCATCATTATCGTCATTAAAATTTAATGGGGGGATTCGTGATGATAAACTCCTTCCCTGTCGATCAAATGAATATGTTGAAACCATTGCTGGAATTAAGGAAGAAATCGATGTTACATTATCAATAATATGCGAAGTATTAATTGAGATATAACTATTGCCACTCTCTTCCAGATTTGCTTGTGACCATATTTTAAGCCACCAACTTTCCATGATTTGAGTTGTTCTAGTTATAATATAAAGTATTGCAACTAAAGACCAAAATATTATGTGTCCATTAGCACGGACATAAGTCTTATATATTCTAAATCTAACAGCTCCAGTCGGACGTGCTAAAGAATCAGTTTTTGTGTGTTGAATTAACCATTTAAAAGGCATCAAAAAACGGAACAAAAAAAAACCCATGAATTACCTTCTTCTTCAACGAGAACTTTTGGTTTTGTAGTACTGGAAAATTTCTTCTTATTTTTTTGAACATCACCCAAATTAACTTCATTTTCAATATTTCCCACAGATAAATTAGCTGATGATTCAGCTACATGCAGCTTGTCTGCATCATCTTTCACTACATTTTCTGCTGCTAGTTCTGCTGAATCCTTGACAAATTCGGACCTGCTATCGGCTTCTTCTAATATGGCAGCCAATTTACCGGAATTCCTTAATTCTGATACGGCTCCTGCCACAGTTACTTTACCGTTATCAATAGTGACCTTTATTTAATTGAAAACGATTAGGCTCATTCGGCAAAATGAAGAGGAACTTTGGTAATTAGAAACAAAAGATGCAAATTATACCAAGTATGAGGCTTCTTTCAAACATAATCTGACATGGTGTGTAACTAAAATTATTGTTCGCCCTTTCATTAAAGTGCCTGATAAACACTCAATCATCAAATGTTTAGCAGTATGTGCATCAACTGCGCTCAAAACATCGTCCATTAAGATATTCTTTGCTCGAGAATAGACTGCTCTAAATTATTTAAATATTAGAGGCACAATTATGTTTAAATAAGGTGTCATTATCACGAATTAATATGAAAGTTTTATAAATCATGCCAAGCAAAAACAAAAAAAAAAAACCTTGCTAGAGCGACTCTTTGTTTCTGTCCTCCTGAAAGCGTGATTCCTTTTTCTCCGATCTCTGTCATGTCACCATCTTCCAAAATCTCTAAATCCTTTTCTAAAGAACACACTCTAATCACTTCCGCATATCGGTCCTCAACATAAGGAAGGCTGAAAATGATGTTTGATCTAATAGATGCATTTTGAAGCCAAGCTTGTTGAGCAACTAGTGCGACACTATTTGATAATATCCAATTTGATGGGTTAAGATCAGAATTTATAGGACTTGTTGGAGATTTTGGACAATAAACTTCTCCACTTATCACATGAGTTTCTTTCAATTAAACACAAGATTAATACTTACACATTAAATATGACAAATCCAAAAAAAAAAAATTTAAATGATATAATTACCTCCAAGAAGCGACATTAATATTAAGGTCTAATAAATAATAAGGATTAACTAAATATATTTAAATTTTCTCGAACATTATAATTTACCAATTATCGTGACTTTTACCTTTCCTGACCCCGTTGGCCCACCTGAAAATTTAATATTTTCATATATTGAGAAGTCCTCAACAAGTAAATAAGAATGCATCATGAAATAATTTCACAGAACTCACATATCAAACTTAGTTCTCCGATGGGAAATTCTAAATTCAATTTTTCCATTCTAAACAGTGGTTCAGATTCGGTGTCATCTACACTGTCTTTAGGTTGATTCCAAGTAATAGTAGCATTCTCAAAACCAATTTTACTCTCCTGTCCTAATACATTCTCTCCATCCTCTAAGTCTACTTCAAGTTTATTTTTAATCTCTTCCTCATTCAAGAACTTTTCAATTCTCTTTATACTAGTATAAGCTTGTGATCCGTCCGTGAATACTTCAGGCAAAACATTAAAAGCAAATCTTAATTCATGGAATATTGAGAGAGAGGTAAAGGCTACTGATGCTGTTAATTCATGTCCTTGGATCTTGGTATAGATGTAAAAAGATGATATTGTTACCAACACGGGAGAAACGATCCAAACAAAATCGAATACTGTAAGATGAATAAAAGTGTTGCGGAGTTGTTTAAGCTCTGCATTGCGCGATTCTGAAAAAAGGGTAGCAAATAATTTAAATAATGAATTCATAAAAAAAAAAGAAAGGGAAAAAATTTCTAATGTTCAATAATTTACCTAGTACACGATTTTCCCAATTTCTTTCCCAAGCATAAAATTTAATCATACGAATTCCTTGCAATACCTATCACACATAATGATTGTTAATTAAATGAAATAAATGGAACAAATTCCCCCCTTTTTTTTTTAAAAAAAAAAAAACTTACCTCATTCATTAGATCAACTCTTCGATCCCTTACTTTCATCAGTTTATCCTGAGTTTTATTATAATACTTTGCGGTTTGATGATTAATTGGCAGTGTGAAGATCATAATCAATAGCCCATATAAACAACTACTACCCAATAGAATATACAAAAAGTAAAGTCCCACAAACAACTCAATAGGACAATCAATAACAGTATTCCACCAAGTTGCAAATACTGAAATTCTATTGGAATCTACTGCCATCAAATTTGTAATTTTTCCTATTGTAGCATTTTGTTCTAAATCTGATTCATCATCATCATCATCTGAATCAACATCATTTTTTCCGGAAATTTTGTCATTTGATTTCTCATCATCCTTCTTAAGTGCCGAAGTTACGTTAGAACCATATCTCTTCAAAGCTTTTGAATAAATTTCAGCATTGAGTTGTCCTTTTATGGCAACTTGCAACATGCTTGAAGACCAGTACCAATTCTGTGATATCGATAATTGTAAGACAATATTTGAAATAAGCATTCCAAATATATAAATGAAACCCCATTCCAATGTTTCACCAGATTCATGTTTTTCTTTATAGTTTTGAAAGAATTCGATAAATCGATAAAGAAATGCATAAGGTGCATAATAAAGTACCGCTACAATTATGACATAGAAACTTTGGATCAATATATATTTTCTATTTGTTCTCACTAAACGATATAAAAGAGAATGATTTCGCCATCTTTTAAATTTATTATATAGTGTGGAAGCTCTTAATGCATAAGGTAATTGATCGAAATCGGTATCATTGAATGAAGGTTGAGAATATGCTTTACGAATTAATTGATTTACTGTGCTAAACATCATAAAATCCCATAATGAACTGTATTCTGCAGCGTAAACTGGTCGATTGTTGTTTAATAATGGAGGACCTCGAGGCGTTTTGATAGCAATTGCCGCTGATATAAAAGATAAAATGAAATTCGCCAAGGAAAGTAAAATTTCGATTTGTTTCGTTTTAGGAAAGGGTATAGAATGAGGATAATAGTATAAAGCAATTCGAATTTGTAATAATGATGAGATTATAGCGGTAATATAAAATACTGTCAAGTGGCAATTTATAATCCATCCCCACTTTCTTGATCCTGATGTTATACTTATTGATGTCAAAATCAAAGCGTAAAACTAAGGAATTGAAAAGTCAATGAAGATTATAAATAAATAAAAAAAAAAATCAATTAATTAATTAATTAATTAAAATTTTATTTACCCAACACAAAGTCATTAATCCGGCATTTAAAACGTATTTATCATCATCATCATTTTCATATCTCCAATAAAATAAAAATCCATGTAGTCCAATTTGCATAAAAGTGATTACAATCTTTATTACGTCTCTTGTTACAGTTGAAAAACGTGTACTACCAAGTGGAACATCACCGGTATTTGTACTTGATAATTCTTGATATCTAATTTTTTTACAACTTTTGATTCCTTGAAAAAATAAAATTATTGAACTAAATAAAATTATTATGGTAGGCGCAGGAATGATTTCGATTAATGTAGCCATTCAGGAAATTAGAAAAATGACGGAAAAATTATTTCTTTTTTTTTCAAAAAAAAAAAGGGCTTTATATACGAATGTCAGTCACACAATGATTCAACGTTATCGTCAGATCCGCATGTTGATCTATCAATCAAATAACAAATAGTTAGATTTATATAGTAAAATTTTACCAAAAGATAGAAGATTATGCGGGAATTAAACATGTTTATCGATTTAGATCATAATAATCTTTGGTATTCCAAAATTTTCATGTCGCATTCAACTTTCTTCAAACACCGAAGAGAAGAAAATTAAAAGATAACATTGATAAAATTAACAATGTGATCTTAACAATTAGAAATTTATTTGACTCGTGCTAAGGACAACAATCATAATTATGAATTTGCTAAGATTTTTATTTTTTGTGCAACATCTTTTGTCGATTGAAAAACTGTCGGTGCATGGTCTATCAAATTTGAGCGCACCGATATTCGTCTAAACTGTTCAAAGGAATTCGTTAAATTATCCCTTTAGGATTAAACAAAGCCAAAATTTTTATTTGTTGTCCCATGTCGGATGAATTGATGATTCGGTTCTCTTTTGGTTTCACAAAATTTATAACATTATATTAATTAATTAAATATGTCTTTATTAATTACTGTTTCACGTCATTATATTCTCAGATAAAGAATATATCTGTCCATTGACGACATTTCGTGATCATCTTGTTCTCTTTCACATTTCTTTCAAAATATAATTATGAATGATTTATTTTATGGTGTCTAAATCACGATATTTAAGTGTCTCGATGTCAGCTAATCTCATTTGGATAAGCTTCTGTTTTAATTTTATTAATTTCATCTTGAAAAGTACACCGATACATCCATTGTACATTTCCTTGTATTTGAATAGCTTGTGAATATAGTATGAATAACAATGTTGAAAAATAGTGATTAAGGATTAAGTCAAACCTGTGATAAACCAGATAAACCAGATGGGCAAAATGGGAGAAACTGAAAATATAAATTTATTTTTCGGACCGAATTACATCCGAATTTAGCATCAATTTATTTTTGGTTTTCCAGCAGTACAAATTACATTGACTAGTGGTAAAATGTGAATGTTAACGAAAGAAGGTGTTACTCATTTGTATAAAGTTTAAATATGTCAATGGCCCATACATGTTTTTATCATCAAAGAGAGATTGAAGAGTCAAAATGCAAAAGTATGAGGAATAAAAGTTGGAGGGCTCCAGCGGGAATTGAACCCACGACCTCTCGCACCCAAAGCGAGAATCATACTACTAGACCATGGAGCCATGAACATTAACGAATTTGACGAATTTTAATTATTTGAAATTTATATTGTATTTTCTTTTTTTTTTTTGGAAGCAGCAATTTCAAAATTCGGGTCAATTTGCAAAAATTTGGTAACTTAATCCGCAGAGTACAATGGCAATGTTTGAAGTTAAAACTTTATTATTTTATTTGAGAGATTAAATTGAACAAGAGTTTTCATTCCGTATTAAAATCTTAAAATTTTTATGGTTGAAGCATACATTTTTTTAATATAATTTTTTTTTTTATAAAGAAAAAATAAAAGTTATTAAAAGTGAAATTAATTAATTTTTTTTTTTTTGTAAAATAAATAAATATAAAATAAATAAATTAATTAAAAATTAAACAAGATAAGGACATATCGAAATCTACCATCTTGATATTATATTTTCAGTTCTTTGATTATCATCATCATATAATGCTTACCTTGTGCTAATAATCTCTTTTATAAAATCATTTGTAGATTTTGAAGAACATTCTGAAGGAGCGGTAATGAAGTAATCCGCTTCTATACAAACTAATTTATCTAATATATTCACGATTCCCGTTCCTTTAAATTCTTCATGGTTTCCTTTCTCTTGTCTGATTGCATTGAAAGCATCAAAGGAGTGCCATGTATTCATGTTGACTGTCGAATTTATTAAGTTAATAGCTCGACGATGATCTTTGGTTATATGACGAAACGATGCAAAATCCGATGAGATCGGATAATCTGTCGATAAATATACATTATTTAAATTATAATTTTCCCTTAATGGTCGAATCTTTTATGTCAATAATATTCCAAGAGATGGCTATAAAAGGTTTTAAAGCCATTTTAATTTTCCAAACTTCTTGATAAATATGTTGAGAATATGAGTACTTTATAGTAATGGGGTGAAAGGTTTTTCGTTGAATATCATTATTGATTAATAAGATTTCCGAATTGGATCCTTCTAATTTTTTAATTAAAGATTTTAAAAGTTTTTTACCATTAAACGAATAATCCCGATTTAAAGATGATTTTTTCGAATGACGTAAAGTTACTATTAAAGTTCATTTTAAAGTTTTCAAGGCAATTGATAATTTAATTTTATCTTTTCTATGTTATGACCTTCATCAACTTTATCAAAAGAGGACGATGATGATGTGAAATGTAAGTAATGAAAATTCGGTTGCTTGAACTTTTCTCTCGTCCAATTTTCAAAGTGCTCTTGTGAGATGATTGATAACCTATGAAATTTCTTTCGCAAATACTCGACATTATAATAAAATTCAAAAGGAAATTTCTTACACGAATCAAGTTGTGATTGTCCCACATTGGTTAAACGAGCGTACGATTTAATTGAATCGCCAAATAAGCGAACGTGCTTAAAAAATCAATGTTTGAACTTCCTGAATTTGAATATATGAATAAAAATTGACATTGTGAATTTTGGCAATACTTTTGATTAACTTGGATGTCCGAATTGGTCATTTCGGATTTCACGATATCGTTTTTCCATCCCTTCTTATCCTGAGAAGAAAACGGAATCTAGTTAAAGAAAAAAAAAATGTTGTCGAGCGAGAAGGAGAATTCATAATTCGATATGTCTTATATTTTACCTCTAACAAACGCGGCTGAAAATCCGAATATTGCAATAAATGCCCATCAAAAATCATGAACAACAAATAATTTGTTGCGATAAACACGAGCATTAAAAACAATGTAAAAGGTTTCATTAATTCGTGAACCGTGAAATATAATGGATTGCGATTCATGGTCAGCATTAATAAATCCTAAAAGGGAGTTTTTTATTTCTTTTACTTTTTATAATTTTTATAAAAAAAAAGATGAACGTTTAATAAAACGAACGTTTATTAAAATCTGTTTAATTTATATTTGCTTCTCGTGTTACTAGAATAAAAAATTTTAAAGAACTGGATTGGACGATTTAAACCACTTTTAGATAAGTGAAATAAGACTAAAATATTAAATATAGAACAATGCACGAATTATTTTTAAGCAATTTTTTCTACTAAAAAGTAAGGCTTAAGGCACATATCAATAAACGTTAGAATAAATTTCGAAAATTAAATGTGATATCTTTATTCCTTTTGTTTACAATCATGAGACACATTGTTTCTGATGTTGTCATGTAAACACACAAAACAAATCGTAGAGAGAAAGTGGTAAATTTTAATAGTTTCGACGGTTTCTTTGATGATAAAATTTTTATATCATAAATACCTTTTCACATGCTTATCCCAATATTGTAATTAATGATGTAATATCCACGATCTGCTGATTCCTTGTGAAACGAACATTGTTCATTTGCTATTTTCGTTATTTATAAATTTTCTTGGCGTAAGCTGCCTAATAATAAATCAAAAAATCATTTATTGATCATTCAAGTCGAATGGATTAATAATTTACATAATCAAAAAATTTATATATATTTTTTACTTGCCTACTCATCAATATAATCGCCGGTCATGTAACATTTGATTTCTGCCGGGTGAAAACGTCAAAGTCGGAAATTCGGTAACGTGTCGGACAAGTGGGTTACACTCGCGAACGGAAGTCAAATAGTGAATGCATCAACCGTCTTTCACTTAGGCTCCTTTACTAATAAAATATGGAAACTTGGAAACAAAAATATATAAAAATGTTCATTGAAAATTATTAAATTATTCAAAGGTCAATAATTTTTAATCGTCAATCATCAAAATCATTAGGAATAAATAGTATAAGAATTAAGTGAGAGATTACTTCTAGCTGTACAGAAAATATTATTATTTGACTTATTTATTTAATTATATATATATATATTTTTTTTAAAATAAAAAAAAGAAACCTATTATTTGTTGACGAAATGCTTGATTTTGTTGGTTTCTCCTACAATAGGTATTAAAGATTTTGCTTTTTGATAAAGTTCCATGGAAATATGACCATCTATAAGCGAACTTTTAAACCTCATGATTCCGACCCTCTTTAAATTTCGATTTTTTTCGGCATAAGAAACAATTTCTTTCAAATAATCATCATCCAATGAGATGTACACATCTAATTCTTGAATTGGAACCGAAAGTACTTCATAAAATTTTTTATAACCAGAAAGGTCAAGTAAGAATGAAATTCCAAGGCATTTCAAGCTAGGAGGAATGGTCCTAGCCAATTGAGACAATTGATTAGTAGATTCCGGTGATATAGGGTCTTCATACCTTCCGGATTCTATGAGGATTAAGGTTTCAAGGGATTTTAATAAAGGAAATAATTCATATAATTTAACCAAAGCAAAAGTTGAAATTTTTAAAGATAAATGAGTCAAATTATTCGGACAATGTGATTTTAGAAAAGAGATTGTTCTATAAGTTACATATTCCATCGTGAGGGATTCTAATTTATGTCTTGATAAATTGATCAAAATTGCCATCGCATCCTCAAAGTTTTGCGGATTCCTTTCCATATCAATTTGATAGGCGAGTAAATTTTTGATGTGAATTGGTGGTAAAGATATGTTTGGATTTAAAAATTCACCTAACTTTTCTACTTCAAAATATTCCGTCAATTCAAGAGTTTCTAATTTAACGCATTCATGTAATATGGGTAATAAAGTATGAAAATTGCTCAATTCCAAAATTCTGAGAAATTTTAAAGAATTCGCCTGACTTTTAATTGAATGAATAAATGAATAACCGATATACTCATTTACTTGAAGTAAATAAAGGTTCCTCTGAGATTCAATTAATTTTGTTAAAGATTCGCTAACTTTGAAAGTATTCGTTGAATCAAAGAAGATATCAATAATTAATTCTTGAATGTTTTGAGAATAATTTGAAAGTTGAATGAAAAATCTTGAAATTTTATCCCCAAACGAACCATCGATATCAAACTCCCAACCAAAATATTTTAATTCTAACTTTTCTAAATTCAATAAAACATTTTCAATATTATTAAAAGTCAAGATCTTTTGAAAGATTGTGTATTCGTGAGATTTTTCATCATCATGACATTTATCATCATGATTTAAATTTAAAATTTTAAGATGTTTGGAACGGGAAAAGATCAAATTTCCAATTATTTGAAATAAAGAAACGTGCATGTTAACATTAATATCATCACAACGAATTTTTGTCCATTTTTTTATCGCATTTTCAAAATTTTGATAATCGAACCCGTTGATGTATGTTGCGTAATTAAATAATGACGGTTTCCTTTCAGGTAAATCGTTCAATTCCGCCCTTAACCTTTGTTTCTCCCCTTCATCTAGACATGTTATTAATGTATCAATGACTATATGTGATTTGCTTCCGTTTTCTTTTTCAAAAGGTCGAGTCCATAGTAAGGGAGCCGCAAGTTGACACCAGGTACGATCAACATATAAACAGTAATAAAGTGTCTTCTTGTCATCGCGAAGAAACTCTAACATGTCACTTATACAATCATAAGGAAGTTTTGAAATCATTTGTATTAATTTTTTATTATTGAAAAGATTCACTTTCAACTAATTAAATAAGTTTTTTTTTTTTTTTTCTGGATTTTTAGAGGAATGAAAAGAAGAATGAATTAGTAAAGCATTTTTATTTAGTTCACTTTTATAATAAAACGCCGTATCATTCCTTAAAAAGAAATTTGAGTTACAAATGAGATCACAACGCCGCGATCTTCCATGATGACGTAATGCACTATCATGAGATAAACTAAAGTTCCAACCTTCTTTTTTTTCTTTTTTTTTTTTTTTTTAAAAAAAAAATACTTCCAGTATTTTATTTATTTTATCTCGATTAAAAAATTATTTCAAAAGAAAATTTCATGTCGTGGTCCCTTTACAATCAATATCTTCCCATTTGATAATTGATGATTTGATCAAATTACGTTTTTGCCAAAATTAGAATTTTATTTATTTCCCAATTTACAATTCCCTCACCTTTTGTTTTTTTGTTTTTTTTTTCAAGACAACACCATTGATTCATAGTTTGCAAAATGCCAAATTCATGATGATGTTTTGGACCACGCAAAGTCCTGATCTAAACAAACCCATTGAACCCTCCGAAGACCATGAATTTCTTTTTACCACGATTTTATACAACAAAGAGCTTGAGTAGTTATTTTGAATAGATCAACTATTGATTAGTTATATTAAGGTTTTGAGTAATTATAAATAAAAAAAAAATACCTTTTTTGTATGATCGGCATCTGTATCAAATATATTTGTAAATATTTGTTTTCTTTCATATCCCATGATTCGTCTATCAAAATGTCGCTTGGGATCACAAACTCTATATAATATCGTAACTTTAACAATTATTGTAGTCATCAATTTATTGACTTTAGATCCAAATTTGATTAGATTATTCTAAATAATATCAAAGATATTAAAATAATTATTAATTAATAAATGCTATTGTAATCTGTTTTAATGGATTAAAATCGTTACGTGATGTAATAAATTATATAATAGGAATATGAAATATGCAAATAAAATTTCATTTCTAAAACCGGTTCTTCTTAGAATATTATTGAATTTCATAGGATCAGTTTCTTAACAATGAATATTTTACTATTAGTTGTTTTTAATATTACAATATTAGAATAAAGTGTCAGTATTCTACTAGCAAAACTCCTTGAATAGCAAGGATTCACTATGGTACTAATTTCGCATAATGTACTAATAAAAGCCTATATTAATTAAATGGAAGCCAAAATATATCATATAGATTTATTATTTAAAAAATAATAAAAAAAACATTTAGATATAATATCTATGTTGAACAGGCCTGCATAAGTCCAAATTTTGAAGCCCGGCCCGGACTTCTACTATTTTAATAACTAATTTTCTAACAAGGAAATTAATTATTAAAATAGTAATATTTAGCTGATATACTTATTTAATAATTTTCTAATCTTTATAAATTGTTTAAAATGTCTAATATTATATTTTTAATGCCTTTCAATAATAATTTTTATTTACAGAATTAATTAATATTATTAAAATCTGTAAATTTTTAATTTAAATTATAATTTTATATAAGAATATTATATATATTTACATTTATAATATATTTATTTTAACTTTTACAATCTTACAAATTATAATAATTATATTATATTATATATTATATGAAAGAAAAACTATTTTATTAATATTTATTCATATTAAATAATAATTGCCAATTTTTTTATTTTTATTTAAATTATGTTATAAAATAATAACTTAATTAGTATATTATTAATTAAATATCAAAATTTTTATAGAAAAATTTTAAGATTTAAGAATTAATATAAATATAATATTAGTAATTATAGAAAAATAAAATATAACTTATTAGATTTATTATTATTAAATCAAATAATTGTAAAATTATATTTCTATAATTAATAAATAAAGAAATATTTTAATAAATTTTAAAATATTCTAAATTATATTTATTAGTTATTATTATAAATTTTTTTATAATGCTTTATTAATTAAATAGAAATTAATTATTCTTTTTTCTAATTAAATAATATATAATTTATATAAATTTTTTATGTTTACTAATAATATTTATTTATTAATACTCAAAAAATTATTAACATTTAATATAAATCATTTTAAATTATTATAATTATAGAATATTAAATATCTTTATATTTTTATATATTAAATATAAATTTTACTAAATATAATTAAAAAATATAGAATTAGTATAATTATTTTATAAATATAGAAGGCAGTCAATAGAAAAAAAGAAAATCTACAAATTATAAGTAATTTTGGTTAATAATCTAATTTTATTTATATAACCATGATTAGTAGAGTAAACCAATAAAAAAATTTTTGACTAAAAAATAGATTTTTCCCTTTTCTACTGATCGTCTTCTATATAGTGAAAGATTATATATAATCTATACTAAATTTTCTAAATTAATACAAAATTAATTTCTTTTATTATATTTATATTTTAAACTTAATAATGATTTTTAATTAGTTCAAAATAAATAAAAAATGATATATATTTATACTACTCAATAATTAAATTAAGTTAATATTATTAACAATAATATATATTTTTTATATCTTAAATAAGATTGTTTATTTGAATTTAATAAATATCTAAATTTTTAATTTGTTAAATTTTATTAAAGTTTAGATATAATTTTACTATTTTATAAATTTAAAATAATTTTATATTTTTTTAAATTTTACAGATTTTTAATAAATTTATTTTTTATCATTAGACAATTTGCTAATCCTTTAAATTTTATTTAATAATCTTAAATTTAAATATTTTAAAAATATCTTATATTATATTTTAAACTGTTTTATATTAAGTATTGTGAACGGGTAAATGTGACACAGCTTAAATAATGCAAAAGATCGACTAATTTGATATAAATGATATATATAATAGCTAGTACTTAGTCTAGATTTATTTGATTTACTTTGTATCTCTTTTGTATAAATTTAATAAAGTTACTGGCAATGCCACATTATTAAAAAAAAAAAAAATAATATATATAATATGTCAGACATATGTGACATAACTGACATATTAAACATAGTTGACATATTAGACATAATTGATATATTAGATATAATTACATGTTAGTTATATCTCTCTATGTAAATTATTTTATATAAATAGATAGCTTTTTAGTTCATGTAAAAAGTAGACAGACAGAGACCTGACAAATTAGTTTTTCAGTAGTTTTAGAGACAACTGGCCTATCATGTTATATTTTAGTTTTTAGTATTTTGTTTTTTTTCTTTTCTTATTCTATTCTCTTTATTTCCTTTTGTTTTTTTTTATTTCTATTATTTTACTTGTAAATAAATATATTATTTTACAAATATAAATTACTGATAATCTATTGAATCTTTACTCATTGTAATAGTATAAATACTTTTGATAATTATTCTGAAGTAAACTTGTAAACTATTAAAAAGTTACTGCTCAATTAAAAAGAATAAACTGCTCGAACACCCTGTCTAATAGTCGTAATTCACGAAAATTACATGTTAATATTTAACGATAATGATAGAACCATCTTTTTCTAATTAGCGCAGTAAAAACTCATGCAAAATACCCTATAAACAACTTTAGAGAACTAATAAAGTATCAACAAAATCATTCAGCTGTACACTATAGACAAAAACATAACTTTAGGAAGCTACTAGTAATTTTACCTTAACAGATGACTTATTTTGCATCGCTTGTAACCCATCTCCTAAGAAGATTTCTCAATCTTTCCTCAATTTCTTTGAATAGGTACAAAAAGTCTTAGGAGCACTATTATATACTAGTAAAAGTTTAGAAGCCTTTCAAATTGTGATTTCTGTAGAAACTACTAGTATACAAGAAGTATATTATAAATAAACACTTCAAACTTTGAAATATAAGTAAGTACTAATACCAACCTTTAAGCGAGCAGTTGAATATTGTATTCAGGCTCAAACTGAAACTAAATCATTCTAAAAGAAATTTCAAGGCGATTTACTCACTTACCTCAATATATTATTTTTAAATTCAAATTGTAATTCTTCTCTATCCAAAATGACCAACCCTCAAATAACTCGTAAAAGTAATACTACGTCTGAATCAGCAAAAGAAATTTATTCTTTCAGGAAGGTTATTCACCTGATAAAACTATCATAACGAACACTACTTCAAGTGAAAGAGATCCTGATAAATAAACCTTAATTCGTAGTTCGTATAACAAGTAAAGATCTGTAATTAGTAAAATTTGGTGAAGATCAACTATATAATCATATAAATTGAAAATTTTCCAAAAGATCTACACAGTATTTTTACATTTAAAATATAAAAAAAATTTCAGAAATTAATAGCCAATTAATACAAATCTTTATTTGTAAAAAAAATTTTTTAACGCAACTCATTTTTTAAGAGCTTTTATGTACAAAACATATGGATTTCAATGCGAAATTTATTATAACCGAATATATGATTTCTAAATAATACCTACTTGAGCTTGAGATTTTATTACTGGAAATTACCACTGGTAGTTAATACTTTTTCTGCTGCTTCTGCCTTTATATACGCTGAATATCTTGAGATCCACCCTCTAATTGTATCAACTTTCTGTAATATTTTTTCTTTTGCCAAATGTCCCATTTCTGCAGCCATATGTAATTCTCTCATCATATCTTCAGCTGATAAATGTGACTTACCAGGTGTATTTCCGCTATGGAAATAACCTTTCAATAACTCAACAACTTCCTTTAGAATTCTTTTATCACCACCTTTTTTACCAAACTTTTGTTTTTCACGTAATGCCTAAATACTTTCTAATCGGAACATACAATTTCTGTTAAAAAAGGTAATTATTTGTTTTATTAATTTAAAATCAAACAAAATATATTACTTATTGGTTAAAAAACTCAATCCTAACCTACTATCTTCATTTAGCTACTGTGAAGTCATATCTACTACTTCAAAAGGAAGTTTGTATTGCTAGGTAGCGTCTGTATTATCTGTAAAAATTGTCAATAATTTATTTCAAAAAAATTTGGTATGTGAAACTTTTTTTAAAAACTTACTTTGTTTAGTTTGAGTTTTCAATGTTTCATTTAAAAGATTAACTAATTGTGCATGTGTTGATTTTGGATCAAAATTTACTTTATATTTATTTAGTTCATCATGAAGTTGAGTAATACGTAATCGATTAGGTTTGATACCTATAAATAATATTTATTATTAGTATATCTGTTTTTTGATTAATATAATAATATTTTAATAATACCTAAAATATTTGGCACTGGTATAGACCATTGAGCTTTTGGCGTTGTATGAGTATCAAATTCTGGTTCAGGTTTTTCTAATGGAGCAGAGATTATTTTAGCAATCCTTGTAGGAGAAAAATTTATAAAATCTCCAATATAAGGTAATTTGTATGCTTGAATAAAGCCATTATATTCCCCTTCACATGGCCAATACCATTCATACAGTTTGGCTATTCCAGCTAATGTCTCTACTTTTTTTCTTTTTGATCTATTAGGTTCCAAATGTGTAATTGATGTTCCCCAAATATTTTGAATAGACTCTTCGATTTGAAAACCACTTATCAAGTCTGATCTTAAGCGTACAAATCATCTGATTGCATGTGTAATTTAATATAAAGTAAGTGTTAGATTTTTAGTTAATTATAAACAAAAAAATATTATTACATACTTGTGCATGATGTGAATCAATCATTGTTTTTGCTTCTCCCGGTTCTAAAAATAACCACTTTTTAACTTCAACTTGATACCAATCAAACCAATGGCTGAGTATAACCATTAGTTCTGAATTGTGATAGTGAGGTCCATTATCAGAAATGAAGATTACCCATTTTGGTCTTTTCTCAAGAGAAGTAATAACCGCATGAAGAGATGATGTAGTAAAGTATGCATCTTGATGTTGATCATCTAACCAATGATCAAATGCATGAACATCCAATTGAGCATTTTCTCCTTTAGTAAATAATAATACGGTATGTAAGGTCCATTCTCTCTTTCCAAAAAAATCTTCTTTTGTTTCTCTTGTTGATTGTTTGAGTATTTTCATTTTATAATCTACTATAATTAACGTACCATTTTGATCAAGTTTTTTGAGATAAATTTCAAATTGACTATTTAGATATACTTTTCGCACTAAGTGGACCATATAATAAATCAATTTATCTTGATTAACTAAAAAAGATTCCAAATGGTCTTGTCCTAAATATTCTTTGAGTTGCTTAAAAATTAACCAAAGATTTTCACAACTTGAACAAACAGTCATATGTAAGTCTTTACATATACCTAACGAATATGCAAGATAATAAGAAATGCAAGAATTATGTTTTAGTTTTCCATTAAGATCCATAGATAAATCCCATTCAAATTCTCTTTTATATGGTGACGTAACATTTCAATTTGACTAATTATATTTGACTAATAAAAAATTTTTATTAGAAATTTTATTATAAAAAAAAATTTCAAAATATATTTGAATATAATTACTTTTTTATCTGAAATTCTAATATTTGAAGATATTAAACCAATCAAATCATTAAAAACATCATAACTATAATTACAACAGGTTGAACATAATCCACCTAAATCTTCTCGATATTGATATCTTTCTTTTGCTAATTCTGCCATAAATGTTATTCTTTTAATTCCATTTGGAAAATTTTCTAAATATTGTTCCCAAAGAGCAGATTTTGTATTTTGAAGATAAAGAATTGGTAGACCAGTTTTAGCATCTACTTTATATGAACTCATTGTAACAATTTCTTTATTAGAAAAAAAAATTTCAATTTGTTTTTTAGCTTCATCTGATATGCAATTTCGTGTAATTAGTGGTTATTCTATAGGAGAACATCCTGGTCCATTAAGTCGCGCATACTTTCGGGCTTCATTCAAGGTATGTGATGTTGTTTTTATCTAAATTATTAATGTCAATATATTAATAAATTAACACAAATCAATAAAATACAATCAAAATCTTATATACTATACTGTATACTTACATTTAGCGTTTTCAATTGTTTTAAACTATAATCCTCAGCAATTATTGAAAGAATTCTTCGTTTACCATTAACTTCTTTCTTATTATTATCAATTGCTTTAGCGATAGTTGTAGCCAGTTTTTTCGTTTGCTCACATGAATTTGAGACGCATAATTCAGATTTTTTAGAAGTCAAATTTACATATAATAATCTTTTTTCATGTAACATTTGCATTGTTTCTAAATCTTTTTTCCAATTTTCTGCTCTTGTCCAAAATTCACACTATATAATAAAATTATAAAATAAATTAGAAAATAAAATATTATAATTTTTTTTATTAAAAAAAATTATGAATTGTTATTAAACTATACATTACCAATTAGTCATCAAGTGGATAAGGTGTTACATTAAAACATCCTGCTGCTTTTAATAAAGCACGCCAAGCATGAAGTTCTCATAGTTTAAATGCATAATCAGACATATAAATACTTTTTAGAGCCGATTTTAATTCAATAATATCACTTGTTTGTTTATTCCAATCAGAAAAAACTTTATACCACTGAATATTGGTACGTGTATGATGTTTAAGAAAATGTAAATACAATGGTTCCAAATTAGATTCTTCTATCCAATCTTTAGGTTGACATGCTAGACGAAATTTTTTTTTTATAATTTGTTGAGTTCTTAGATCTATTAATCCAAAAAGATTTTTTCCATCAAACATAGGAAATAAGCCAATTTTATTCCAAACATCATTGGGAGTTTTTCCTTTGAATACTTCTTTCTCATAAAATTCTTTAAATACTCAAACAATACAAAAACTTTCAGTTATTTTTTGTTTATAAAAAATCTTTCTTTTTCCCTTGATGCTAAGTGATGACATAAACCCACAACCCGTACCTTCATAACCATCTTGACTTGAACTTTCAATATTATATACAAAAATTTGAAATTTGTCAAAATAAACAAAAAAAGGCCGAAAATTAACACCCTCCAAAAGATGTTCAAGAATAATTGATTGATTATCTAATCCAAACTCACGCAGTCCAGAAAATTTTGTTTTTGTTGAAAAAATTTGTTGGTACAAGTTTGTTAATGCAGCACTTGTTGTTTCTTCAATGTCACTTGATTTGTCATTTGCTTGACAAAGATATCCAGGTAAATAAGCATTATTTTTGTTACCTTCAATAATTTTCAAGTAAAATTGAACGTCATTTAATTCAATAACAATGCTTAAACCAACACGTATTGGATAAAGTTCGTTAATATTATTAGCATTAGTACTAATTAACCATCACTTATAAGAAAATGTACCATAGTGAAGTCGAGATACTATAAACCTAATAGAAATGAGTCTAAGAGAAACTCATTTACGTTTTGTCATAAAGTAATTAGTCAAGCTAATATGAAAAAGAACCAGTTTAAGAAAAAAACTTTTTTACTATTACTCTATAACCCTGCATTTTTATAATTAATGTCGATCATCATGTATACTTGTATCACAGATCGTCAATTAAGCTTTGATAACTCTGCCTTTAGCTTTCGTAAAAGTACTAGAAAATCATCTAAAATGGCTTATATAGAACTATCTGATAAAGAAGATGTAACCTCTGATTAAAAGAATATTAGCCCTTACACTTCTCTAAGCAGAAAACTAATTATTTGCAAGATCAATATAAAAATAAAAAGTCAAAGTACAAGAGAACTAATAAACAGAAGAGCCATCATTCTATATCCTACTATGATAGTTCTTTGTTTTCTTTTAGTTCTGATTCTAGCAATCATCATTCTGATGATGATGAGAATAAAGACCCATTCGACGAAAATAACACAAATAATCAAGATAAGCGAAACTTCTTTAAGATTATAAAAGGATTGCAAACGGTCTTTAAAACTGTTTAATTTGAAGGACAACGAGAAGCAAAATTTATAGATTTACCAACTTTCAAAGGAGGAGACCAGGATTCTCATGATTGGTTAAAAAGATATAATAATGCTGGAGATGCAAATGGAATTTCTGACAGACGATGTTTTATATTAGTTTCATTATTTTTGAAAGAATCAGTTCTCACTTGATATAATAAAACTAAGAATGAAAAAGATTTGCGATATTGAAATAATTCGACTGATCAACAGCATAAACATTGCTCCTTTATCTATCACTTCTTGAAACATTACTATATAACTTATTAAAGAACGCAATAGTATTTAGCACTTAAATGATGTAAATAATGTTTTAGACAGTCAGTTAAAGATTACGTCACCAATATTGAATCATTATACCTTAAGGGTAGGGTCTTTGAATATAACTAATGATTGACTCAGTGATCGATATGTGTAACATTATAAAAATAGAAACAAAATTGGTATTACAGATTATAATTTTATTAGCCAATCATATAAATGATCAATTATATAAATGATTATAATATAAATCAATTTCATTATTTCAAAA